CGTTACATTATGTGATCCAACTGAACCGAATCTCCCTGCGGATGTAATTTACAGGCGAATACAGCGATGTCCTCTCACAGTACCATGGAAAAGTCTTGTTTTCTAGAGTCTAATACACAGACACACAAACACTTGCTAAGGCTAACACACACACATACACGGCAACGCCCACCACTAGCACACACACACTATGGCAGATGCAAGTATCAGCGAGAGCAGCAGCGCATTTACAACTCGGAGATATAACCACTATTTTCAATTTGTGGGGATAAAGGACGCAAAAATATTACGATCAAATGTAAACTGTGTGCAGGACAGAAAGCATTGTCCACATCGAATAACATCTCCTGAAGTCGCCAAAGACGGCCCACCGTCTCAACTACTGGCAGTGACCCAGAAGGAGCAACACCATCTAAACCGCCAAAAAACGATTTTTTCAAATCGAAACATGTCACCCAGAGTCAACTAAATAGATTGCCAGGTATGTTGTTGAGGACATGCTGCCCATCGCAACGGTCGAGTCTGTTGCCTTCAGAGAACTAGTCAGCAAAAAACAACACAAAAACTTGTATTTTTATTTTTATTATTTTTAAAGTAAAGTAAAGTAACTTGCTACTAGTTACTTTTATAATTTAGTAACTATTTTGAGAGCAGTAACTATAACTAGTTACTTTTTAAAAGTAACTTGCCCAACACTGCTCATCACTAATACCCTGATGACGTGTACTTTCAGCAGCTTTGAGCTAAAGCCTCCACAGTTACCTTGTTGGCAGTTTTCAGAGTTTCCACCAGTTCCCAGAAGCTGATCAGAGCTCTCTTATCAACCCGCTCCATGTACAGTCTGAAATGCTCCCTGTAACCCGGGTTACACAGGATGTCATTGAACTGGAGAATCTGAATGTGGGGAGAAGAAGAAATTACAAACATCAGCCATGACACTGGATTTATTTTATCCGCACATTTGCTATACTATACTATTTATATACATATTTGTTGTTGTTGTATATCGTACAATGTGTAAATCTTTAATTTAAGTTCTTATGTTTATATAATATTGTTATTTTATTTAATTGGACATTTACACTCGTTTTCTTACTTATACTTTAAAATGTTTTATTCCAAATGGAGTGCCTGTCACAAAAAAACATTTCCCCTGTGATAAATAAAGTATAATGATTCTGTGGGGAGCATTTTTATGCAAAAAATGAAATCCAACCTTTTGAACACCCGACAGAACGTTCTAAAACGTTTTCTAAGACCACTGTCTCCACCTTTATTGGTCTTACCTTCTGACTTTGCGGATCGTCGCTGTCCTCGGCCCCTCCTTCTTCACTGTTCTCATAGTTTGGTCCACCGAGAAGGCGGATCCTTTTCTCACATTGTTTCTTAGCAACAGTCAGATGATTGATGTATCGTTTCATATCTCTGGCCCGCAGAAGGTCTGCCTTCATGGCGGCCGACTCTTTACCTTTACGATCTACGGGAAAAGGGACAGCAGTGGGTGAAAAAGGTAGTTTTGGTCACAACATTACACAAAAACACTATTTCCTAGTATGGAGCCACTGATTAATTAAGAGAAAGATAGTTGCTAATCTTGTTTTACTAATAGGCCATTTCAGGCAAACATAGTGAAAGAAAAGTTCCTTACATGTTGATTTGCATATATTTAACTCTACTTTAAATAAATACCTAATTATTGTAGCCCAACATGGCTGATTACACACTGCTTTGACACTAACTTGGAATAATCATTTGTTTTATGTTTATTTTGTTCCATTCTATATCCAATATTTGTATATATGTTCTATGTGTGTGTCTCATAAACGGGCTAAAACGTTGGGTTACGTGTTGTAACCCGTTATATTAGAACAGGCGGAGCCCTCTAATGGACTCTATGGGCACTACCTTACCCTGCGAGCATTCTCCCACTGAGACTTGTATAGACGTAGCCGGCCTTGGGCGGGCCTACCTGAATGTGCGCGCATCACACCGTGTAAAAGGAGGCCTCGCCTCCTGACTATCATCCTACACCTCTCTTCAGCGAGCGGAATAGGACAGACACTGCCCTGAGTAGAGGGCTCCGCCTGTGCTAATATAACAAGGGTTACAATACGTAACCCAACGTTATACCTCTCACAGGCTCCGCCCTCTACTGGACTCTATGGGTACAGTGGGTGGAGCCCCGATGTATACGCGCACTGTCGTCCAACAACAACATTCCACCCTACTGCCCCTGACCGGCTTTTCTGGTCAGCAGCTGCTGCCCCACATTCTCCTTTAACCCGGTTGTGACCGAGGAGAAATATGGGCTGTGGCTGACAGAGCACACCCTGCTGCGCTTACCTCGCATAAAGTGTGCTAAAAAAACAGTGCCGGGGGACCCCCCCCACCCATAGACGGATGGGGAGAGCCAGGGCTTAATTTGAGCCGGAACACGCCGGAACATGTTCCGGCACCTCTGAAATTGGATCCGGAACCTTTTTTATTGGATCCGCCCCCCCCCGTGTCACTATGAAAAAAAAAAACGCCAAAAAAAAAAACGACTGTTTGTTCGGTGTTCAATGTTGTTATATGTCTTGTTAGTGTTTATTCCCCATTGAAGTTCCTCAAAAATCTTGTGTTTGCCTTTTTGATGCGTTTACATTTTTAAGGTTTTTAGCGGGAGAGGGGGGGGGAGGGGGGGAGACTAGAGGTGTGACACATAGCCTACGCTTGCGCTGGTTGAATACATAACAGTTAGCTTCGTGTCTACAATGTCAAAAAGACAACAAACTTTACTTAACTTTTTCAAAGTCAGTGACCAGCAGTCAGATCCAAAACGATCAAAAATAGTTTCCGAAAATCATGAGTGTGAAGACCACGGTGGACAGAGCAGTAGTATGCAGCCTACCATCGATGCTGCTAATGCACCTGTCGTTAGAGGGGATATTAGCGACCCCCACGGGGAAGGAGATGAAGGGGACGAGACGGATGATGTGAACTTGGAATCTGCGAGAGATAGTGATGGCAATGAAGCAGGTATTGTCAGGGACACTCACGATGGGCAAATCTGGACAGATGCCCAGTTTACACAGAAAAAAAAAAGTTATCCATGGCTGACAATGGAAACCACTGGACTGGGCTGTGCCATTTGCAAACAAGTGGGATCACTGGGTCCGGAAAAAACTGCAGGTGTGAAACTTGCAAAAGAATGGATCTCGGGCTCGGTGACATCATCTGCGCCCGATTTTTAAAAAAAGCAAAGAGCCTTAAGGAAAAAGGTTTTTGAGCATGGGAATACCAAAGCACACGCAATGGCATCAACTATTTTGGATAAGGCAAAGGCAAATGTATTTGTTAACACAGTAGTCAATGCCCAAAATGACCAGGTGCAAACGACTGCCAGAATCTTTCGCACAGCTTACAAGGAGGCCAAGCGTCATAGGCCATCTTATGGATTTGAACATGAGATAGACTG